TTGTGAAAGTATGTCATGACAGTGTTCATAGTCTGTAGTTACCCTCTGGTATTTTTTTCCAACCTAGTATAGTTCTTCAAATAATTGAAATTTTTTTGAGGACCAATCTCCTAGCTGACTGCCTTGAGTTTTTTCTGAAATACATGTTATTAATTACTTGTACCAACTTCTAAAAAGAATAAGCAATGACAAGTGAGAATAACTTAAAAAAAAAAAAGGCATTAAATCTGAGCTGTAAAATGAGCTACTCTGAGGTTTTTTTTTTATATCTCGAGTGTTTAATTTAGACAGAATTTTGTAAAGAGGTTGCTCTGTGAGTGACAGGAAGGTAGTTAAGAAAGAATGTGTAACTGGTATCAAAAAATACCCAGAATAGAAGATGGAAGAATAAGGAGGTAATGGCCACAGAGAAACTGAGGGCAAAAGGTGAAGGAAGTTTGTATCTCTAGTGTGTCAGAAGAGCAGTGTGTATAGAATTAAATTATGGGATCCTGACATGCAGATTTTGCTCATAGTTGAGTTATGACAGCTGATCAGTCTGTTAATGCTTTGTAGGAACTAATTCTGTGATTGGAGGATTCTGTCACTTCTTTGGATGACCCTAGAGTCTCCTCCAGAATACCTGAAGAGCATACTTGTTCAAAGTGACCTTCTTTTGACTGAATTTGGACACTTCTTTCTGCAGGTTAGTAGGAGGTCTACTCACCCTCAGCCTGGATTACTGCTTCGTCTTAGAAGATGAGGATGGCATATGTGGCTATGCTTTGGGAACGGTTGATGTGACTCCTTTCATTAAAAAATGCAAAATGTCTTGGATCCCTTTCATGCAAGAAAAATATACTAAACCAAATAGTGACAAGGAGCTGTCTGAGGCAGAGGTTGGTATAACCTGTGAGGTCAGAACTGTATTCTGAACTCTTTCTTTCCAAAGCAGGTCTTTGTTTTTCTTTTGCATTTTGAGCTTCTGTGTAATTCAGTTTTTGTACTTTTCTGAAGTCTTTGAGCACAATATCTGACATCTTAGAAGGTGACAGTAATATTATTCACTGTCAGTCAGATACAGCTGTGTGTTGTAATACACCCATGAGGTGTACTTTAGTAGTAATCAATGGAGTTAAATGTAAGCCACCTTAATACAGAGAAAATTACATTATGAAAATAAAAGATTGCTTCTGCTCTGTTCTCCTGCAAAATGAGATATTAGTTTCCCCATGCTGCAGGTAAGGCTAACCCCAATAGTCACATCAGTTTAAGTATGGAAGACAAATTAAAGAGCACTTGGGTTTGATGTTAAAAATCTGAGCTATTTGTGGAGTGTGACAGCTGTAAATGATGCAAAACAACATCTGCCCTTTAGCAAGTGCTGAAAAATCATTATCTTGCATTGGTTTTGGAAGAAATTAGAAAAACAATGTCACTGAATTGTTAGAAATAGTGAAAAGTTCTAGCTGATGTACTCCTGTCAAGGAAAGAAATGCATTTAATATTAAGAGGTGCTGATCCACATCTGCAAGTGGAAGGAGGTGTGTGCAAAGTTGTAACAGAGGCAGGCCCAGAAACACCACTTCTTAGCCTTTTTCTTTTCCTCTCAAGAGGAAAAGAATACTTTCCAGAAAGTATTCTCCAACAAGTTGTCTGAATACAAAAGCTAGTGTCATACTAGTGGGCCTCCTAAGGGAATCCCTGGCTGGTAAGAGCAGTGCAAAAATGACATATATGGCAGCGTGCCCTTGCTTTATTTGAGTAGGACTTAGACAAAGTCTTAAAGGAGGTCATGGCTCTGAGAGCACAGACCTTCCCACAAGTAAAGAAAAGCTTCCTGGAAATGGAGTGAAATGTTTGTCACCCTGTTGTGAAAATGACCACTACTTATAGGCATGTTTGATGGGGGGAAAAGTGAAGTACATTCTAGAAAACAAACAAACAACTTCCACTACCACTATTGAAGCAGAGCTAATGCTGCAGTCTATAGGCTTTATGACTTGATTTTTCTACATTTGCACAGTGCTGTGCTTTCAACTGTATATGTAAATTCAGATTTTTGAAGCAAAGCTAATGCATATAAAGATACCAGGAACTAAACACAGCAAAGCTGTAGTGGGTACAGTAAGGGACAAGGGGCCTTGATTTCCAGAAGCTTAAAGCCAAACTTCAGAGAGAAAGCAGGTGTTTTGTGCTGATAAACTAGCTTTTCCATTGAGATGTTTAAGAACATTTTTTTGCTGTTGGTACATTGCCCCAGGATTTCTGCTGCTTGTACAATATCTCAGAAAAAGTCTGTTTCTTGAGACTATGGGCTTGAGGGATGTTCCCATGAGTACAGAGGAGCTCTTTGTACTTTGCTCTTGAGGTAGATGCTGTGGGATTTTATCCATTTAGTCTTTTGACACTACAATGGAACATAGAGAATACTCCGTAGTTGCTTAGAAGCCATTGTCATTGAAGATCATGTAGGGAAAAGTTTTCTCACGGAATAGGATTGATTTGGTTTCCTTTATAGACCTCTTACCTCTTGATAATCTCAGTCTCCGCTTTGGCTTGAAAAAGCTCCCTTTCTGTACTTCTTAGATCATTTGATTCAAATTGTTGACTTCTAATACAGTTCAGTGGTTCTCTATTTTACTTAAATATATCTTGAGCTCCAAACATCAGGGGATAAATAAAATCTTTTGTTTCATAAAAGAAAAATCCAGTCCTCTGACTTGTGTCATACTGTTGTGAGCTTGTCTTGCAGTTTTGTCTAGGTTCCTGTCAGGGAAGTTTATCTGGTATCTGCTTTTCCTGAGATTAGTTATTATTGATCACAGGAGATGAATGCATCATCTCTCTAACTGCTTCTTAACCCCACCTGTACCCTACTCCTTGACAACCTGCTTTCCCTCTTGTAGTGCTTCTGTGGCTGGAAGAAACAGGCATCACCTTTGCCTTGGTGCCTGAAGCCAGCATGGCTAGCTTTGAACACTTTCTGTGGGATTGTGCCTGTTACAGCTGTGATAAAGAAAAGCCCAGGGGAGCAGGCATGGTTCTGAACCTGAAGTAGCTCAACAAGTTTTAAGTAGTAACTTTGAGCAGACACTCTTCCTGCAAGAGCTGGGAGATGGCAGTTTATACATTTGAGGGGATTGCATTTAAACTTGACCTGAAAAAAAAATGTGGGGATTGCTAATGTTATGGTTCCTTGTGTGATAAAATCATCATTTGGGTTGTTATGGTAGTGACTTTCAGTTATACAAGAAATGAAGTTAGGTGGCTTGTTTACATGAGGCAATGCTCCCTAAAGGTTTTAAAATTCAGTAACCAGCAGGGGGAATGACTTGAGTATATTTCAGATTTGGCTTTGTCTACTTCTGTGTTACCTCACTTGATTGTTCCATTCCCATGAGTTGCATGAAGTTAATGTCTGATGTCACATTCCCAAGACCTTCCTGGGTGATTGCAATAGTCTTTAGTGATCAACAACATGCTTTAGTCATCAATAAGGCTTATTTCAAGTTAGAGGCGAATTTGTCTTTGGGGCAGGTAGTCTAAGATAATTGCATGGACATGAGAGATGTTTCCAGGCTGCTGTGAACCAAAGAATACATGTGGAAGGTTAGGACACTTGGAACTAAAACTGCCTGTGTAAAATGCAAAGAGAAGGAATACCTGTGCACAAACGGTTATGTGTTGGCTTATGGTTTTTCTTGCCTGAAGTGTCAGTCACTGAGAAGCCATGCAAGGAGTCTTGCATTCCTCCTTTGACAGTCTGAGAAGCTTCTGTAGTCTGCCTTTTTTTATCTGGAATACAGAGAGCAATTCAGCAGGTAAGGAACAAAGTGACCATCGGAGGTGTGGTTGAAAAGCATGCTGATTTGGAGGTATAGTCTGTGAGCGAAGCAGCCTCCCTTAGTAAAGATGAATGAAAATGAAAAGCTGGATAATGATTGAATGTCTATTTCCCATATTCTTTTCAGAAAATAATGCTAAGCTTCCATGAAGAGCAAGAAGTATTGCCAGAATCGTTCCTTGCCAACTTCCCATCATTGATAAAGATTGATATCCACAAAAAAGTGACAGATCCAAGCGTGGCCAAAAGTATGATGGCCTGCCTTCTTTCTTCTCTAAAGGCTAATGGTAAGCCTCTTGCACTCAAAATTTCCTTGCTTGCTAATTATGTGTTAGTTCTAGGATGCAAGGCAAACCTGGGATGGTTATATTAACATACCATATTTGCATGTCAGCCTGAGACATTTGATTCCTGCCATAGTCAGCACTCTAGATTTAGGTAAATTATTATAAAAGCTTTTGGATAGCTAACTTCTGCCACTGTCTTTGGTAAAAGGTAGCTCTTCACTTTAGCCATTTTCCTGCAAATTGGAAAATAGGAAGAACTGAGGGAGCAATTTGACAATAAGAGCATGCATTTTTACATTTTGAACAAAGCACAAATGTCTATATTTCCCCTGCTGGCATTGGTAATGATGCTTTTTCTTATGTGTGGCACTGTGCACTGGTGGGTAATTACCAAAACCTTCAATATGGGGAAGTACTTGGCTGTCTGCCTTACTGTGCACCTGAGGTTCACAGTTCCTTTGTGTGATTTGGTGCCCTCTTCTAGTGCTATTTTCTGAGCCAACATCAGAGTTTCAGAATGCTTTTATGTGAAATAAAAGGTGTGCAGAGGGTTTGTTCAGACTGAGAAGACTTCTGCAATGTGCAGTCCCTTTAGGGGATGGTCAGCTATGTTGCCATAAATCTGGTCTCTTTTTGGCATTATGCTCCATATGGAATTGGATCAGTGTTTTCATTTCATTTGAATGTTAAAATAGGTGGGAAGTCTAGTAATACTTGATGTCTGTGCTTTTTACAGTAACTCTTCTCCTACAGTATTTTGTTTCTTTCTTCCTTCTTCAGGCTCCCGTGGGGCTTTTTGTGAAGTGAGACCAGATGATAAGAGAATCCTGGAATTTTACAGCAAGCTGGGTTGTTTTGAAATTGCTAAAATGGAAGGATTTCCAAAGGATGTTGTTATCCTTGGAAGAAGCCTGTGAAGTGCTTGACAGCGAACTGTTCCAGTACTGTAGTCCCTTAACAGCTGGGCAGGTAGTGGTGGGGATCTTCATATGGTCTAGCTGCGCAAAGCCAGCAATAAGCCAGCTTGGTAGACGGGGCTATGCGAAAATCACCCATCACACATTCAGACTGTAGTTTGTTGGAAGAGGATAATGCTGCTGAAAACACTGTTTTAACAAAGAGAAACCTTGTCCTCTCCTGGTCCTGTGTGAAGTGCCAAGGAATCTTGCATGGGCTATAGCTTTTCAGAGGAATCCCTCTCAGTTGGTGCTGTGGTTCATGGCAGTTCTCTGCATTCACATGTCAACAGAAAAGTGGTCTCTGGCAGAAGTATCTAGAAAGATGCAGGCTTTTTCTCTGTCATAGAGCAGGATGTGCAACTGGAAGTTGCAGAAATGGGAGGGATTGCTTGTGTCAATCAGCAAATTTAAAGATAAGTAGCTACCATTCTATTTTTTACTATCTTTATGCTTGTTGATAAAGCAATGACCCATTGTCACTTCTAATGACCATTGGTTCAAGCTTTGTGCTTTGTTAGGGACAAATGTGCAGTGGTCTGTGGCAGAAGTCACTTAATGACAAACTTGTAAATTTCAGTGTATATAAACTTAGCTGTATGCTGACTAACTTTTTGTTTACCAGTTTTTGTAACTTTTTCTTTTCAAAAGTGAAATGGTATAGGTCCAAGATGGCACTTTTGAATAACCTAAAACCACAATGGAGAACGAATCTGTCCTCAGCACTGACCTTTCTTATTGTGCCTCGTATCCAGGGCTAGAAACTGACCATCTTGGGTAAGGGGAGCAGATCCCAAATGATCCTTCCTTCAGACAGCAGTGTGTCACTGCTTGGGGTTATCATCATTCTCCTGGGCCTCAAACAGCAATTCACAGGGTGGTCTGCTGAACCTGTTAATTTTGGTAACGTTCACATGGGATTGGATGAAAGATGGTGAGAGGGAGAGAGCTGGCCCACAGCTGGGATTTGTCCTTGGAACAGTCACCATGTTTCAAAGCCTGTTCGTACTAGTTTGATTAAATCAGGGTCTTCAAGTCCTGCACATTTGTATCAAGTAACTTTTCTATAAGAAATGCCACAATAAGAACATTTTTACACATTATTTAAATGGTTACCTGCTTTTAAATGTTCCAAGAGTTTGTTTTTACCCAGGACTGACATACTTGGCTATGGGATGGAATCAGCATGGTATGGGATCTGGTAGTGAGGTAGTTTTGCATCATTTATGAAATTGGTATTTCACAGAAGTCCCAGTGTCCCAGATACGTAACTGGCCAATGGTATACACCTTGCAGTACCTTGCTTCTTTCACCTGCTGCCATCAGCTGTCTTTATCTTCCTTTTTAATTTTCCTGGGGTTTTTTCCAGTGGTGCACAAAGGAAATTCAGTTCCTTTTACAAGCCTCCAGCTGCATAGAAGACATTACGCAACCTATAATGAATGGCATTAAGGCTGCAGTAATGTTGTCTGTGACCTGTAGGGAGATGCTGTGTTTGGCCTTCTGGTGCAGTCACATGCAGGGTTTTTGGTTTTTGGTTGTTTTTTTTTTTTCCTTTGCAGAATGTGAACAATTTTTTTTTGATGCGGTAGTGGAATATTTAAGTTGAAACAAGTTCATTTCATTTTTAGAGAGAGGTACGGGGTTGTGCTATGGGATTTCATGTAAGTCAGAGCTGAATGCCACTAGTTTTTATACAGCTTTGAGTGCATGTTGAGTAGCTGATACCTTGGTTTATCAGGTGGGAGAGTTTTGTTTCTTCATGGATACCAGAGTCAACTTATTTTATCTGGATGCATAACATTACAGCATAGGATGCTTGTGGCCTTATTTCTTGGCTCTTAAGGAGTTGCCACATTTTCTCTTCCTATGACTTTGTTATTATTATAGAAGTTAATTGTATAAGCCTATGGAATGTCAGGCCAATACCATCATTCTAGGATTGTAAAGTGATATGTTGACATATCTTTCATGGTTATGAATTTTCATTAAGGTTGGAATGCCACTTTCATTAATCTGTTTTTAGATCAACAGTATCTGTAGCAGAAAAAAAAGACCTGTAAAACTGTATTTGAAGACCATGCGAGAAATAGAATAAAAATTGAGAAGTGAATGTAAATAAGAAATGTGTATTTTGTGTATGAGGTTCCAGAACCAGAAGTGGTTCAGCAGTGTATGTTATATCATGCTGTATGTGTTGGATGCCCTCAGGATCACCTGGCAGAGAAGCTTGTCTCTGGTTTTGGTGGTGGACACTTACCTGCGCTGATGCTTTTCAGAGGCAGGCATTCAGTGACCCTTCAGAAGTACTCGCCCCAAAGATTTTTGAGGTGGCAATGACCTTTCTTTTTGGCCCTTCTGTGAGTAGCACCAGTTGCATTTCATCTGTTTTGTGAAAAACAGTTCTTTCAAAGGTCGTCTCCAGTGTCTAGCAAAGCCCTTGTGAGCTGTGTTGCAGCAGTGCTCGTTTGCTCTTTTTTGCTCCTTTTTTTTTTTTTTTTTTTTCTTTTTTTTTTCCTTGCCGGCTGCTGGGTGTAGAGGTTGCTGAATCCCAGAAGAGCCTGCCAGCAGAAACAAGGTGAGAGATGAAGTGACTTGAGGGTCACGTTGTGCGTAAGGGGCAGACATTGTAGCTCCACAGTCTGGCCTTAGTTGTATGTCCACAAAATTTAACTTGCCAAGCTAAACACCCAAGATAGCTTTTGCGCCGCACTTCTACAGCAGGTAGATGAACTCTTGCAAACTGACCTTAGCAAAAAGCTGCTTTTCATACCCCTGACCCATTCCTTTTGCTTGGCTGTCATTCTCAGCAGGAAGGTACTTGCTTTAGCCTGTGTATTGTGGAGATCATGATAACATGCAAACTAAGCAGGGAAATTAGCAGTTAAAAACTTTTCCCCTAACCCAGTAAACGTGCTATATTAAAAAGGTAGTTTTTCTTCACAAAATCATAATGTGTTTCCTATAGTTGTCTTTGTTTTCTTGAAGCCTATTTCACAAAGTTACGACAGAAATGGCAAATATAACTTGCCTATGCCAAACCCATCTCAGCCTGGGAGGCAGGTTGGGGCTCTGATGTTGCGCCAGGAACTTTTCCTTTAAGGGACTGTGAAGCAGGAACGGGCTCTCCGGGTCACGTAGGTAACATGTCGCCGCCAGCCAGATGGCTGCAGAGAGCAGCTACTGCAGAAGGAAGCGGGTGTGCTTGTATAACCATCGCTGAGCCGAGCACTTGCCTTTTTCTGGGGCCAGGTTTGGCTTTTCAAACCTCTTCAGATGTGTTTTTCTTGAACTGACTCCAGCTGAAGCAGAGCACATGGCTGGCTGGTGGAGGTCTCTTCTGTGGTGGGAGCAAAGCCAGCTTCCAACTGAGAACGCAGTGTGAGCTCATCGTTAGTGGGGTTTAATTCAGCTGCGCCCCGCTCCGTCCCTGCAGCATGGACCAGGCTGCTTCCCTTTCTGCTTTGAAAGGCCAGTCAGGCCCTCTGCTCCCCGCAATAGATTTTTGAAGTGGGATCTTGCCTTCTGTGCTCAAAGGCTCCTGGGCCGCAGTCCCCAGTGTCAGATCACACTGCCTTTGCCCACGCTTAAAGGGATAGAGGTGAGCAGGTCCCTCCTGTTTGTGCCCCCACCTCGGTCCTCTCTGATACCCCTCTTCATGCCCTTGGTCTTCTGCCTCTCCTAGCTCTGTTGGTGCTGTGGAGCCAGGATGGTGCCCGTGAGAAGGGCCAGAGGTGGATAACCACCAGTAAGTGCCATTTTCTGGTCGGTGTGGCATTTCCACAGCTGGCAGTGTGGTCAGTAAATGCATTGTCCTGCTGAACTGGCTTTGGCTGAAGGCCCAGGATGGGCAAGAGACCCTACAGTTAAAGGGTGTGGTGGTGTCTTTCATCTCCTGTGTGGCTTTTGGGCTGTTCCCCATCCTCACAATGAAAATCATCTCCCCTTCCACTGTTCCCCCTCCTGCCTACCCCCCTAGAAGGATCTTCTGATTCCTTCAGTTACCAGGAAAAGTCATTAGCATCCCGCTGGGGTAATAACCCTTCCCTTTTTATTGCAAGGAAATAAAAAACTATAAATATGGCATTTCACCAGGTACTCCCCCTCCTCACACAGCTGCTCCATCGAGCGAGCCCTTGCCGAAAGGACACCCCCCGCAGGATGCGGGATGATGCTGCGGGGCCCTTTGGCTTGGTCACCCTCAGCCAGGAGCCGGGGGCGGAGCGGGGCGGGGCGGCGCGGCTCGGCTCGGCTCGGCTCGGCCCGCCCCGCTCCCAGCGCCGCGCTGTCGCCTCATGGAGCCGCACGGGCCCGGCTGCCCCGGCAGCGTCCTCTTCGGTGAGCGGCACCGGGGGCCGCG